TTTTTTACCTTCTTCATTTTTGCCCTCCCAAAGAGCCTTTTTAGACATTTTTTACCCCTTTTCTGTAAAAGAAGTTAAGTAATCTCCAATATCTCTTTCATCTGGAATACTATTATGACTTCCCAAAAACACAGGCAGAAGCAACACAAATATAAATAAAAGAGTTATACTGAAATAACTTTAGCAAAGGTTTACCGTGGGACCGGTAACCATCAATGGTCACAGGGTGAAGCAGGTAGCACAGGTGAGTAAAGAAAACAGACAGGGATAGAAAACGGAACGAGAGAATCGCAGGCAGGCATGTCTTGAGTGAAAGAGGCTGTGAACCGTCCACTCCTGCTGGCTGTTGCCAGGTCGGAGTGTGGCTCCAGTGTTACTAGATATTTTGGGGTTTTTTTCCCAAAAGAAACCAAAAATCTAGATTCTTATGTGCACTTATGCCAACGTGTAGATGTGGACAGCTGACCCCGCTGGTAAACGTCCGCAATTCCCGCTGCCCTGTGTTCACGGCTTTGTGTGATTCCCCTCCGCGCCTGTGGATGGAACCCGTGACTCACCGCTACCCAGGAGAGTAGAACAAAGGTGATGCTACTGTTCAGATGTAACCAAAGTCCCAAACCAGCCGACTGTGAGTTAACTGAAAAGTGGATGATGAGAGTGGGCCTGGCTGAATCAGGCGAAAAGCCCTGAAACATGGACTGGTCTCTCTCTGAGATGAGATGCTCCTTGTGGGCTTACCAAAGGAAGTGGCCATGCTGGAGACGCCCATGGAGCCAGAAGCTCAGGAACCTGGGCTCTAGGTCGTACAGAAAGGACCGCTGCCAGCTGCCTGAATGAACTTTTGCAAACGGTTTCTTCCCCGCTGAAGCCTCTGGATGACTGGCCGGCTCCTTGCCTGCAGCCTGATGAGGCTGTAGGCAGAGGACTCCGCTAAGCCACACCTGGACCCCTGACCCCTGGAAACTGTGAGATGACAAATCTGCATTGCTTTAAGCTTCTAAGTGTACAGTAATTTGTCAGATGGTGATAGAAAATGAACACAATGGCTTATTCAAAATTTCTGAAACACTCTGCAGGCCAAACCAACCTGAGGGGTACAGGTGGCTTATGGGCAGCCACTGTGCAATACATGACGATGGAGGGCCCACAACATGCAACAAATCACCTTAGGTATTAGGCATTAACAGATAAAAGGTGCATACCTAGAGAAAGGTAAATATCACAATTCAGCACATTGTGGTAACTGCCAAACCTTACACAACAAAAGGACGGACCTCCTGGTGCAGCAGATTTCAGAACCCATCTGCAGCCCGTGTAAACTCAGGAGCTGCCATTTGCCTGTCTGATCTGCATGCCTTTTGGAAGAAAAACTGTTTCATCCCCATTCTCTGTTTCCTCTGGGTGGCTCCATCCACACTTTGTTTTAAAATCTTCTCATCAATGGCTCACAGTTTTCTTAAAAATAGATGAAGCCTAAATGATATGAGACCTGGGTTTCTCTTAAGCACCATGGTATTTACATGCCGTTTCAATTTTGCGACCAATCAGCCAATGTTAAAATCCTCCCAGTTCAAAGGGACGACTGTGAGAGGACAGCAGAAGTAAGGCTTGGGGAAGTAACAGGTCTTCGGCGAGAAGGCGCCACATTCACTACACTTACAGCGCAGCCAACACTGACCAAGGCGTCGAGACCCATGGAAACTGGGACCGAGCTTGTACAGCATGAACTGGAACCAGCCATGCAAGCTTTCTGGGCCCCAGTAACCTCACCGAATCACCTCTTACCTGATCTCAAAAAATATATAATAAACCAAAAAAACCCAACTGGCCTCCATGTTTCTACTTATGTCTCCCACATGAAGCCACAGTGATATTCTTCAAACATAATTCAGATCCTAATTATCCAGTGGCTTCCTATCACGCACAAATTAAAATCCCAACTCAATCATGACTTGTATGAGCTGACCTCCTACCTACTTTCCTTCTTCTCCCAAGGAGCTGTTAGTTACCAGAGTTTGTAATTTAAAACATAATGTTTCTGTAACAGTGTTCTCCCAAATAAGTACCAATCCCTTTTCTGAAGTCTGAGGTCTTCTGCCAGCATTCAGCGGATGTTCTGTGAGAATCATGCCACATGCAGATGTAGTTCTGATGTATTTGCGGGAGGAGGTGAGTTTCATGTCCTACTGCTCCGCCATCTTGATCACTCAGTAGCAATGGCGATAACCCAACAGTGCGCACTGGTATGAGCCTATGAGTAACTGAACTGTGTAAATGCTTCCATACCAGCTGGTAAATCAGCTACTGCCCTGAACCCCACCTGCTACTTCCTGTTCTTTGGGGCCTTGACTGTACCATGATCCCACAGTGGGCCCTGAGTTTTCTGCTCAAGAAACATGGCCAATGTCCATTCCACTGGGTGAGTACCTAAGCCACACCAGTTGTTAAATATCTAGATTGGGATATGACCCGATGGCAGGTGTGCTATTGGAACAAGATGATCCATCAGGAGGTACCTAGTCACCCACCAAAGGATCAGAAGCAAGATCAGACAGGAATAAAAGGAAAGGCATAAAAATGGTTCTGGAAGCCAAGAGCAGCTATCTTTCAATGCGGTGGAATAAAACTTGCCCCCTCGTTTGGCTTGGGGAACAATAAATGGGCAATCTGGGAGACAAATACAAAGCACACACTTGCTCTTTGCACTACCAACACCACATGAAGGGCAGAGTAATTATGTATTCGAATATCATTGCTGGGAAAAACTCAGTGTGACCCAGAGTTCAACACTCAAACACATTGGTTCCAGGCGAGATTGCCTTTCACGGGGGGATGCGCTTTCTCTGCGAAAGCCTTGCTTCCAAAGGAGATCAGATACTGCTACTGTTTACCAGAGTGGGATCCAATAAGGGCGTCCTCTTGATTACAGAGCCACAAGATCAGCACTTTCTCTCTTGCTCATAAGAAACCACATAAAATGAAACAACAGAAACCTGTAAGGACGTCTCCAGCTAATTGCCCTGGCCTGGCAACACATGCACGACTGGAAGCAAGTTACCTAAGGAAGGAGAGTGACCAGAGTGAAGGGATGTGATGTCAGCGTCATCTTCATTTTCCTTCATCTCATCTATCCCAAGTCTGGAGGGATCCGGACGGGCTCACATACCACCTTATCAACTCGGCCAGAGGCACCCACTCTTCTCTAGGGAGGTGAGCCAGGGGATCAAGGTAAATCAAGTTCTCAGGCCCCGAACCGGATAGCCGGCTAGACTCCTATGTTTTCCAAGTCCCCAGTCCCTACCCTGAGTTTCCTTTATCAATCAAATACCTACCCCGTGTGCCAAAGGGATAAGCTGGGTCTCTCTACAAGTTCTGCCAACTCACAAAATCCCCTGCGCCCCTTTCCTAGTTCGTGCCATGGTGCTGAGCTTCTGCCTTGGGTCTGTACTAATTGAATCAAACTCTTCATTTGCCTTTTGTGATTGAGGGTCGCAGTCCAAACCTTGAATCTTACAGCGGGGCCTCCTGCGTGACCTGGATTTGTCAATTCCCTGACACGAGATAAAAGTCTCCACATAAGGTCCCGTTTCCCACAGCAACACCTGCCACCTACCTAGACAGCGCCCTGCTGTGCTCCACCATCCAGAGTGGACTTTCTGGTGTGACTTGCTGGGTTATAACCCAGGTGCTCTGTCCGTCCTTTGAAGCTCAGACCTTGGGCTCCCGTGGCCGGGATCAGTCTATCCAGCAATTCCTTCTCACTGGCTCATCTGCCCTTTCTCAGTTAACAGGTCCTAAGCTGGTCCTTACAGCTTGGCCTCCACCCAGCCCCCTGCCTCTAAAATCCCAGTGTATACAGTCCCCCAGCCCCTTTCTACTGGACCCTTAGGTATTCAGTCTAGTTGGGCTGACAAAATACACCTTGAGGACTTTTACCAATTGGGAGAGCCCAAAATTGCTCGTGATTTTATGACTCACAACCTCATACCTGAAAACCCAAATGGAAGATATGCCGTTCCTGCGGAGTGTAATTGCGCAGGCCAAGCAGAACTGTTTACCTCTTGGTGGCTCAGATTTAAGTCTTTATTTGCTTCATCTTGTTACAATAAAATGTGACTTTTGAACGCTGCGCTTTCAGATATATTTATCCAAGAGGATTTTTCTCCATTATGTAAAATAAAACAAAAAGGATCATTTGGGGGGAAAATGTAACATAAGTCCATCATTTAGTAAGCTTTTCCAATTATATCTATTTGATTCTGACTTTCTGCCCAGATGCGAATGGAAAGTTTTTTTTTCCATTTAAAAAGCAAATATCTTTCATTGAAAATAGTGCAAACCAAAAAGCGTGCTTCTTTTCTTTTTGTCTAGCCATATTTGCTGTCTTTATGTCATAATGACCTTTCCCCAACATATTTTTCTGTTCCTCTTTAGTGCCAAGTTTCTAAAAATAAAGTGGCTAGTGAATCTTTGGATGTAGGGATAATATTTTGATTTCACTGGTACATACAATCAGGAAACATATTTCTGTTTATACTCTTAAAATCAGTTGAGAGTTGTAGATGAAGCCACGTTCTGTCAGCACATTTTTTTTTTCAAACCTGGAAAATGTAACAAAATCCAAAGCAGCTGTAGGAAGTAGAATGTACACTCCATTTGTACTCAGCAGGAGGAGAGCTAACAGGAGGTAACGGGATAGTTTCCACATGAAAAAGTTACAAAGAATTTAACCTGTAATGAAAAGTCTGATAATCTCCAGGAATGAAAGATGCTTGGATGATGGGTTTGGGGTTTCTCTTGAGTTCAAAGGATCTGGTTTTCCCTATAAATGCCACGCAGGAATCAGAGACGTCCATGTGGTCATTGTTATGTCTGATAGCCAACAAAAGCTCAGACCTCATCTTTAAGCTATTAAACAGTGACTGTGTGTGCATTCTAAGACCATGGATTAGGCTGCTCAGGCCTTTCTCTGAAGAACATAGAAAGCAGAATCTCATTACCTTATCACTGTCTGCTCCGAGGCAAGGATGCTCATGGGTGATGATCAGTTTAAAGTTGGTTTCTGTTTAGATTCGATGTGTGAAGATCCTGTAGAGACTAGAGCTCCTCCAACTCTGAGACGCACACAAGGAAACTCTGGACCCTGTGAAATGCAGATTCGAATTCAGTACGTCTCGGTGGGATGGGACCTGAGATTCTACATTTCTATCAAGCCCTCAAGAGGTCAGATGGTGCTAGCTGATGGACCGCTGGTGAGACAGCAGGAGTGCAGAGGGTTTCTTCCTCAGCCATCTCATCCTGTCTGTGGTCGAAGGCTCCCCATCAACTCTCCTCCCAGGATTTGGGTCCTTGAGTAATCCCCTTCCCCTGAGGCTGGGCTGGACCTACTGACTCATATCTAACAACTGAATATGGCAAAAAAAAATGGTGGCACATCTTTTCTAAGGCCAGGTAACAAAACGAATGTAGCCTTGGTCTAGCTGTCTCTCTCTCTCTCATCCTCTTTCTGTTGGAAACCTCTCGACTCTGGGAGAAGCTAGCAGCCAGGCGGACAGCCGCCCACGTGGCAAGGAATGGACACCTCTGGCCAAGAGCTGGAGAGGACCTGAGCATCCCAACAGCCACGGAAGCGAGTCTGAAAGTAGACCATCCCCCAGCCAGGCCAGAAGAAGACTGCAGCCCCTGCCGACAGCATTTTCATGAGAAACTCTGAGCCAGACGCACCAAACGAGGCCCTGCCCGGGCTTCTGACCGACAGAATGTGAAAGAATAAATGTTTGTTGTTCGAAGCAGCTGAACACTGGGATAGTCTGTGACACGACAGACAGATAATTAACACAGTGTCCTTCACAAAACAGAAGTTTGTAAGCGTTGTCTAAAAAATCGAACCCTGGTGAAAATCTTATTGGCTATTTACTAAGGTCCGTACATTGTGGAGGCTCAAAACTCACTCTCCTATTGTCACCCTATCATCGGGGGTAGCCAGGCAACTCTGGGGCTGGACTCATCCTTCCTGGTCACTTTGCAATTGGGATTGGGATTTTAGGATCTTTTTAGTTTGGGATTCAAGCCAATCTGGGCAGCACTGACTCAGAGGGCAGTTAGCTCCCTATTATGATGTGAAATTCTGGTCTTTTGAGGATGGCTTAAAGGTGGAATCCACTGAGTCTGGCTTCTTGAGATCCAGCCCTCTAGTCTAACAGCTTCAGTTTCTGTTTATATTCTAGAACTTTCTAAAGCAGGAGCGAAGCAATTCTCCTTTAACAAAGACAATGCGTATTTACAAAAGAGGCAGGGCAGAAGAGTTAAAAATGAAACTGAGGTGGCTGGTCATTGCCTCCTGGGTTTATTTTTCACTTCTGCTCTTGGACACATAGGTTCCCACCTATTTGTCTTAACCTGCCCTTGAGCTGACCTGGTTCTTAGTGAGGACGAAGTGTCTGTGAACTGAAATCCTCTTGATCCTAATTTCAACCTGTGGCATCTGCACCTACTTTTTTCCATATTCACCTTATTCTAATGCACTTACATTTTTTAAAGGAGGAAAGATCAAGGAAGAAAAAAGAGGAAGAGGTATTTGGAAACTTAAGGCAAAAGTGTGTTAGGTTTTGATGGCCTGATAGGACATAACATATGTGTATTTGAATTTCAAAATATATTCACATCCCTCTCTGCCTGCTCATCTGCCACTAGTTCCCATAACTATCACCTCCGCCAGACTCTGCTGCAGTCACTGGCCTCCGGTCCCTTCATTTCCTGGAGTACAGCACCACCCTCTGCACCCCGGATGTGGACAGTGCCACGCTGCCCACAGGGCTAAGCCCACCACGCACAGCTCTCTAGAGCCCAGCGCCAGCCTGCCTTTCCAACATTATCCTTCATTCCTCGCTTCCTTGAAACATTCGATTCTGCAAATGCATCGTTCATGCCATTCACCCTTCACGGATTCCATCTCTCCTCTCTTCCCACATAAAAAATATACCCCCATCGAATCTAAAAAAGGCTACAAATGAACTTACCTACGAAACCAAAACAGAGTTACAGACACAGAAAATAAACTTACGTAGAAAATAAACTTACGGTTACCGGGGGTTAAGGGGGGGAGGGATAAATTGGGAGATTGAGACTGACATATACACACTACTATATATAAAACAGATAACTAATAGGGACCTACAGTACAGCACAGGGAACGCTTCTCAACACTCTGTAATGGCCTATATGGGAAAAGAATCTAAAAAAGAGTGGATATATGTGTTTGTAAATATAACAGATTCACTTTGCTGTACACCTGAAACTAACGCAACATTGTAAATCAATTATACCCCAATAAGAAATTTTAAAAAATAACCCCCTAGCTGTCTAGATCCAGATCAGACGCTGCCCCTCCCAGGTCACTCTGGTTCACGGTGAGCCAGATGAATCTCCCTTCTCTGAAGACGCTGTTTTTGGTTTGTATGGCACCGGCTTATAACCCTCCTTTGTCCCTTTCTTCTGCTCTTGTAGCCAACTGTCACTCCCCTCTTGCATTATTTTGTACTTCAAGTATTCATGTATTACTAGCATGTATTACTATTCATATATTCATATATTCCTAGCTCAAAGAAATTGTTACTAAATGAAAGGGACCCTGTATTTATATTATTCACTTATTTCTTAAGCATTTAACTTCTCACACTTTAGATATTCATTTAATTGGTGCTAAGTAAATACCTGTGAGTCTAATAATTTGAAATGATCCATGCACCCCTGTGCTCACAGCAGCACTATTTACAATAGCCAAGGCATGGAAACAACCTCAATGTCCATGGACAGATGACTGGATAAAGAAGATGTGGTGTATATGTATACAGTGGAATACTACTCAGCCATAAAAAAGGAATGAAATCGTGCCATTTGCAGCAACATGGATGGACCTAGAGATGATCACGCTAAGTGAAGTAAGTCAGACAGAGAAAGACAAATACCATGTGGTATCACTTATATGTGGAATCTAAAATATGACACAAATGAACTTATCCATGAAACAGAAACAGACTCACAGACATCGAGAACAGACTTGTGGTTGCCAAGGGGGAGAGGGTGGGGGAAGGATGGAGTGGGAGGTTTGGGGTTAGCAGATGTAAGCTATTATATACAGGATGGATGAACAACAAAGTTCTACTGTAGAGCACAGGGAACCATATTCAATACCCTGAGATAAAGCATAATGGAAAAGAATATGAAAAAGAATGTACGTATGCATAACCGAATTAGTTTGCTGTACAGCACAAACTAACACTATATTGTAAATTAATTATCAATAAAATAAATTTAAAAAAAATATTTGTGAGTCTAACTAGTAGGACGTACGTTTCCCAGTGTCCTGAGCCTCATGACAAATTTCTGGGAGCATGAGAAACAAAATTATGAAATTAATGGCTAAATAAGACTGAGAAGTGGCTGAATTATGTGTATTTACAGAAAGCTAACCACACTCAATGTGCCTGTTTCTAGCTGCGTGCTTGATTAGCTTATCTCAGCGGACCCTGCATTTGCTCGTGTGTGGGCATATACCTCCATCTCATAGATGTCAACCTGCCTCACACACAGATGTACACAGCAAAGCTGATGGCGAACCAAACACCCCACACTCTGGACATGCTGCGTTAGAGCTTAGACTCGCAAGTTGGTAAAACTAGAATTGATCGTCAGGGCATCTAGTTTCCCATCCTCTGATTTTGCTGAGGATTATCATCATTGTAAGACTTGCAAATATGAACACAGGTGTGCAAAGCAGGGCAGAACCCTTGATTCGAAGCCCAGAGCTCACTCTCTCTTTGCTACTCCATGTTCCTCCCAACTCCAAGAAACACCGTTTGCATTTTTATTAAGCTTGTATGTGGTCAGAATATACTGGGGGAAGCTGAGAACCTGATGTTAAAGGTAAGTTCTGGGAGGACCTGTTCGTTGGCATCAAAGGTAAAGTAAGTCTTTGGAAGGCAGAAGCAAAAGCCTTGAAGGTCAACCAGGATGAAAGGACACCCACCATGGAAGTGAATTACTAATTGTCACCTTTACCCTAATCTCCAGATTCCTATTCACAACACAGACACACACACACAGAGAGAGAGACATGCACAAACACACACACACAAGCTTGGATTTTGGAAAGGTGTGCCCTTGATTAGAAATCAAATTTATTTGGTAAAGGAAAATCTGTCATCCTAAACTTTGATCTCAGTACCAAAGAAAGAAGACGTGATCATTTGACAGTGAAGGTTCTGTTCAACTCACTGACACAGACACAACTGATTCAGGACATGCTGTATGAGACAGCCGGTCCAGAGAAGAAAAAAGCCAGGTATTCCAGGAAAACCCGATGGACAGGCAGTCAGGAGACATGATGAAGGTCACAGAAATCTGAACGTCTCTGGCCCCCGTGGAGAAGCAAGTCCTGTGTTCTTGCTTGCTAATTTCAGGGGGAAGGAAGTCAGGCACAATACCTGTACTTTGGCGAGTGTGCTTTAAAATCCACGTCACAGAGGAACTTCTGGGATCAGTCTGTCCCTAGTTGCATGCTTAATGTTTGATGTGAAGCTAATTTAATACTTTGGGTAAATTATGTGACTTAACCTATCTGTATTACAGACTCACCCACAATTTAAGGGGTTCAAAGAGGGTTAGAACACACACATACACACACACACACATCTCCAAACTGGTACTACATCATCTAAATAATTCACTAGCAAAATGTGCATAAAAGTTCATCAGCGCAAGTGTGGCAAGAACGTCAGTACTGTCCTTAAATGCTATCACCTCAATTATGCTCAAATGTATCTGATTTCAGGGTTTGTCCCTGTTGATTGTTACAACTGTACTAGTTAATATTCTTCTTTTTCTCTTTTGCTAAGGGTTGGGGGAGGGGAGAAAGAAAACTACCCAATGATCTCAGAAGATAAAACTATGGAGTTTTCCTTAACCACCTGGGACCCTTGGGCCTGCCTTCCGAGGTGACAAGTTCTACCACCGTCTGCCACCAATAAGCAGGCAGGCACATGTCACAGTGTCAAGGAATCTGTGGGTGTAGGTGCCTGTGAGTGCGGGTGTGTGCATGTGAATGTACACGCATGTACACAGGACTGTGCGTTCATTAAAAAG